TAGGGCTTTGGATGAGAGAGAGAGAGAGAGAGAGAGAGAGAGAGGGGATAAACCCCCAAATCAGAACCACTTCTCCCATCCACTACCCCCATTCCTTCTATCTCTCTCTCATCATTTTCCATCGTTTCTCATTTGATTTCGCCCATCTAACCACCAGAACCTTCGTTACCTCAAAACCCTCGGAATCATCAATCCCCAAACTAGAGAACTCACACCAACACTCCCTCTCTAAAATCTCTAACCTAAATCAAGATGGAAAGAAATAAGATAATAATCGAAGAGAGAGATGAAGAGAGAGAGAGAGAGAGAGAGAGAGAGAGAGAAAGAGAGAGAGAGAACAAGTTGGATGATCAAAAGAAATGATGAGTGAGGCTCAAGATGATAATCGAAGATTCCATAAGGGGATTCTCAACCGTTGGGTGATCAAAACATCCAACGATAAATTTCTGTCTAAATAACATGTGATAAGTGATGCTTGAGATGATAATTTTTTTTTCTTCAAATTTGTAGTTGTATGTTTTTTGGTGGGGTGAATTATATTTATTTATTTTTTATTTTTTAAAAATTGGTGGGGTTAATTATATTTAATTTTTTTTAAATTTTATATTTGTCTAATCAGGTAGAATGTAAATATTTATTTATTTTTTAAAAAATGTTTGAAAAATGTCATTAAAGACAAAAAATAAATAATAAAATACTAAAAAACTTATATCTAAACAACACCTATAAAATTGAACGAAGAGTTGGTTGAGATTTGTCAAAATGACATGTGAACATTAGAGTACCATTGCTATAATTTGATAATTTACTATTATTTATTGTCAAATTATAACAATGACATTGGTTCTAGTTTTCAGAAAATAATTTTCAGAAAATTCTACTTTTTTATTTTCTGTATTTTAATATTTTCAATGAATTTTTTAAAATATTTTAAGCATTTTTTTTTAAAAATTTTAGACACACCTAACCTAAATACACTTAAAAATTATAATATTTGTGAAAAAAATCTTTAAAATACACTAAATACTAAAAAATATAAAAAAATACGAAAATTCAATACATTTTTCATATTTTTGTGCATTTATTAATTTTTTAAAATATTTTTTCACAAATAGTTTACTATTTAGATGTATCTAAGTAAGATGCATTTTAAAAAAAAAAAAATTACTTAAAATTTTAAAAATATTCACTAAAAAAAATACAAAAAAAAATTAAAATTTTAAAAAATTAAAACCAAATAAATTGAACACTATTATAGCAGGATAAAGGGTGCTGCTGTGCAAGGCACAACAGTTACTGTTGCCCCATTTTGGAAGTTTTTCCTGAGTGTTTTTCGATAATCTGAACTGTTATATTGTAAGGTTTGTCAAGAATATTATTTCTGCAAAAAATCAAATTAATCGGATATTCATAATCCTATGATTAGATCCCAATTGTTTTTAAAAATTTATGAAAGTTATGTTAACCGTTAATTTTTATAGAAACAAATGTGCTTTGATTATAGGATTACAGATATCCAATTAACTTGATTTTTTGATTATAGGGTTACAGATATCCAATCAACGTAATTTTTTATATGAATAATCTATCCGATAAACCCTATAATATAAACGATTTAAATTATCAAAAAATAGGCGAAAAACCTGCCCCAAGAGGCACAACAATGGCGCTGTTTGGGATTCCTTGAATTAGGCTATTATAGCCTCATTTGGTTTTTTAGCCCAAAAGCCTTCACTGTGCATGGATTTTCAAAAAAAAAAAAAAAAAAAAAGAAAATAGGCTGCTGCTGGACAGTGTAGGCACAGCCTACACTGTCACAGCCGGACAGTGCTGCTTTTTGGGCGAAATTACCATTTTGTCCCTTTATATCAATTTTAAAAAATAAAAAGTTAGGGATAAATCTGTCATTTTAAATTTAAACATCATTTCAACACACTTTTCAATACAATAACTCAACTAAAAAATCATCTCATCTTCCCAAACACAAAAACTAAAATAGCCACTAAAATAGTCATAAAGCCAAATAGCCTACTAAAATAACCACTTCCCAAACGAGGCCAATAACTGTTGTGACTACCCCTCTCCGATTATAGCATGGAAATGCTCTGGCCGTGGGGAAAGGAAAGGGACAGTTAGGAATTGAACCCATTGGTTCTGGTTTTCTATAACATTGGTTGAAATTTGTCAAACTGACATGTGATTATTAAAGTATTATTGTTATAATTTGATAATTTATTATTATTTATTGTCAAATTATAACAATGACATTGGTTCTGGTTTTTAGAAAATAATTTTCAAAAAAATTTACTTTTTTATTTTCTGTATTTTAATATTTTTAATGAATTTTTTAAAATATTTTAAGCAATTTTTTTTTTAAAAATTTTAGATACACCTAACATAAATACACTTAAAAATTATAATACTTGTGAAAAAAATCTTTAAAATACACTAAATACTAAAAAATATAAAAAAATACGAAAATTCAATACATTTTTCATATTTCTGTGTATTTATTAATTTAAAAAAATATTTTTTCACAAATAGTTTTACAAATAGTTTACTATTTAGATATATCTAAGTAAGGTGCATTTAAAAAGGTAAAAAAATTATTTAAAATTTAAAAAATATTCACTAAAAAAAAATATAAAAAAAAATTAAATTTTCAAAAAATTAAAACCAAGTAAACTGAACGCTATTATAGCATGATAAGGGGTGTTGTTGTGCCTTAAGGCATAGCAGTTACTGCTGCCTCTTTTTGGAAGTTTTTCCTGAGTGTTTTTTGATAATCTGAACCGTTCATATTATAAGGTTTGTCAAAAATATTATTTCTGTAAAAAATCAAATTAATCGGATATTCATAACCCCATGATTAGATTCCAATTGTTTTTAAAAATTTATGAAAGTTATGTTAACCGTTTATTTTATAGAAACAAATGTGCTTTGATTATAGGATTACAGATATCCAATTAACTTGATTTTTTGATTATAGGGTTACAGATATCTAATCAAAGTAATTTTTTTGTATGAATAATCTATCTGATAAATCTTATAATATGAACGATTTAGATTATCAAAAAATACACGAAAAACCTGCCCTAAGAGGCATAACAATGGGCCTGTTTGGGAAGCTGCCAACGGGGCTATTATAGCCTCATTTGATAAATAAGCCAAAAAGTGGCAATGTTCACAGTTTTTTAAAAAAAAAAAAAAAAAAAAAATAGGCACTGCGCTGGACAGTGGCCTCGTTTGGGAAGTGGCTATTTTAATAGGCTATTTGGCTTTTTGGCTATTTTAGTATGTTATTTTAGTTTTGTGTTTGAGAGGATGAGATGAATTTTTAGTTGGGTTCTTGTATTGGAAAGTGTGTTGAAATGATGTTTAAATTTAAAATGACAAATTTGTCCCTAACTTTTTATTTTTTAAATTGATATAAAGGGGCAAAATGGTAATTTTCCCATTGATGTATCAATTTCCGGCTGTGACAGTGTAGGCACAGCCTACACTGGACTCGACTCTTATATTATGGCGCTGTTTGGGAATAGGTGGGTGAGGCTAATATAGTCTAAAATGAGAAATAAGCAAAAAAGCGGCACTGTTCACAGTTTTTTCAAAAAAAAAAAAATTTAGGCTCTGCACTGGACAGTGTAGGCAGCCTACACTGTCACAGTCGGAAATTGGTACATCAATAGGAAAATTACCATTTTGTCCCTTTATATCAATTTAAAAAATAAAAAGTTAAGGACAAATTTGTCATTTTAAATTTAAACATCATTTCAACACATTTTCCAATACAAGAATCCAACTAAAAATTCATCTCATCTTCCCAAACATAAAACTAAAATAGCCTATTAAAATATTCAAAAAGCCTATTAAAATAACCACTTCCCAGGCCAATAACTGATGTGACTACCCCCTCTCCGATTATAGCATGGAAATGCTCTGGCCGTGGGGGAAAGGAAAGGGACAGTCAGGAATTGAACCCACGCCCACCGTAAAAGAGACGAAGTGCTTCCACTCAGCGACCAATCATGCCGTTGGAAACAAAATTAATTTTCAAAATTAAAAAATAAATTTTTGTTTTTTATTTTAATCAAATTAGTTTACAATTAAAAAAATAAATAAATAGGGTGATAGTTTTATATATTTTTTTGGTTGATATTCTTCCTTTAATTAATCAAATGATTTTTTTATTTATATAAATAAAATAGAGAAAAAAAATTATATAAAAAAACTCAAAATTTGACTATTGTAACAAAATAAACTCTGAATTTTTAATTTTTTTAATTTAAATATTAATTTTTAAATTATTTTTAATTTAAACATTTTTCTATTTTTGTTAACTAAAATCAACAGAAAAAATAACATTTTAATCATTAAACGTAATAAAAATGATATTATAGACTTTTTATTAATACGTATATTGAGTTTAATGACTAAATTATTATTTTTTTCATTGGTTTTACTTAACAGAATTGGACAAAAGTTTAAATTGAAAATAAATAAAAAATTTGAGTTTGAATTGATAAAATTAAAAATTCATGATTTACTTCATTACATTTTTTTTTTGTTGTTGTTGTAGTAATTTTATAGAAAAATATTTAAAAACAAAATAAAAAAGAATAAATTACAAATATATCCATGAGATTTACTTAAAGTATAAATTACCTTTTGTAATTTGAAAAATTATAAATACTCCTTCATTAAAATTTTTTATTTAACAGAATTAACTAAAAAAATGAAATTTATAATTACTCTCCTATATAATAATACAATTATTTAAATTATTAATTAAATCATATTTTTAATATCATTAAAAACTATTAATTGATTTGATAAATTATTAATAAAAATGACGATTTGTAATAAAATTAGAAATTTTAAAGAATAGAATAAAATTTTTAAACCGACATAAGTTAATTCGTATTTTAATCAAATTTTAAGGATGTATTTATAATTTATAAAGAAAAAAATTTGAAGAAAAATAAGGTTATTTGCGCAGGAAAGTCGAGCACGCGCCCCTGACATTTGCTGGCAGGCACATGAAGGTTTTTTGAAATCTACGCAAATTCAAAAGCTTGAATCCCTTCTCTCTCTATCTGTATCTTTGTTTCTATTTTTGTACGGAGTTGGAGCTTGCGAACTCTGAACATCATCTTGTAAATGAGAGATGGAGGCAATCAGAAAACAAGCCACAAAGCTCAGAGAACAAGTCGCTAAGCAACAACAGGTAATCCTCTTCTTATTTTTATATTTTTCTTTGTTTTTCTCCATATCCAAACCCTAATTTCAGTCACCAAAAATTGAGAATTACATAAGCCGCTATTACTTGTTTGGATCTATTGATTTCTTCGTTGTCACGACGTATCTGAACGATTTATTAGCTGATTGGAGCTGTGGTCGTCAATGTCTTGCTTGATGAATGGTTCATTAATCTTTTATTTTGAACGATGCTTTTGGGCTGTTTATTAGTGTGTAGAATGGAATGTGAAGTTGTGGAATTGCTACTTGTGTGTTTTTTTAGATCGGAAAGAAAATCTTCATTGCAAAATTGATAAAGGACCGAATCAATCCGGTACAGCGGTGTCATAATATATGAAAAAGAGATAAATAATCTTCATAGAATGAAGGATCCAAGTTTTCATAGCGTCGGGGAAGAAGCCCCCTTGGGAAATAAACCTCCACAATCAACAACCTAAAAATTAAGAAAACGAACCAGAAATCCAAGTCGCCACCAAATTCATCCAAAACTCCATTACTCTGCAATCTTCAACTTGGAATTTGAAAACCTCACCTATTTGTGGGTTTACATGTTGTATAAATAGAGTGAATATAACAAACTTGGCTCATAATTTATAGCTTCAGTGCTAGGTTGAATTTAATCTGCCTTTATATGGAAAAATATGTAGAAAATCTAAAGTTCAAAGGATGTGCAAAGTACACAAGATGCTCATCATTGTTGGACTTAAAGGAGATTGCTTTATATATAATTAATTTTTTTTGCAGAGATTCTTGATTGTATTTTACGTTCTGTTTGTCTCGGTTGAAAACATTGTCCAACAGAAAACAGAAAAAATGTTTTCCTTGTTTGGTTACGTCCTTAAAACTAATGTAATAGTTGTTAAATTAGTGGTGGTAGGGTGGTAGTACTAGTAGTAGTATGGTTTCATTGATAAGATTTTAGTTCTGAAAATGTGTTTCTCGTTTCAAAAATGAAAAATATTTTCTGTTCAAATAAGCTTGTTTTTTTTCGTTGATTTTCGTTTTTCCATTATACCAAATGTTATAAATTGATTTTTTATTTTATTTATGTTTTTAAATTTTTGTCCAAACAAATACTGTTACTTTTAATAAGCTGGAGTTCAACATTGTGGTTGAGTTAATGATGCAATCTAGTGGTTTTATTTAACTTGTTCATGCAATAGCTCTACTATTAGTAATAGTTGTAATTTTTATATATTTGTTTGGAGAAAATCTCTAAATGGCGTACAATCCATGAAGCTAATTTTTAGTGCTAGTAAAAAGTCGATTTAACTTGACAACGTACTCTTTTCGCTGGGTGTTGCTATTAGCCCCCACATTTCTTCTTTAGACCCCTACTTGTATTTTTTTAATTATAATTTTACCCTAATTTTACAATTCTAATTTTATCCCCATCCCTAACCACCCAAACCCTAACCCCACCAGTTTCGGTCGATACCCTCCTTGCCATCCCCAGCTCTACCAACCCTCCTTGACTTATCCACCCCTCTCTGTCCATCCCCACCACCCATCCCTCTCCTAGCCTCTTTCAGTCCTTCCCTAGCCTTCGTTGGCCCCTCTTCTTTTCTCTTGCCATCCCCTACCCCTTCCTTAACGTCTACTGTCACAAACTCTTCGTCTTCTTCTTCTTCTTCTTCTTCTTCTTCTTCTTCTTCTTTTTCTTCTTACTCCTAAACCCTATCTTCTCTCTCTCTCTCTCTCTCTCTCTCCACAGTGGGGAGAGGCTAGGAGGGGGTTCCCTGATGTAATCAAACTCTCTCTCTCTGATTTGATCTGTGAGAACAACTCAGATCTAAATTTTTTTGTTAATTCTTTCTCAGATCTAAATTGTTTTTTGTTAGGGGGGTGGTGATGGGGAAGGAGTAGTGCCACCAAAGGTGGGTTGAGATGGATGAGGGTGGTGCCAGAGGTGGGAAGGGGCTGGGTGCTACCGGGAGGAGGAGAGGGACTGGGGAGGGTGGTCGTCGATAGGGGATAGGGAGTTGGGGAGGGTTTCCAGTGGGTGGTTGTCGGTGGGTGTTGTTGGAGGAATTAGGGTTGCAGAGGTAAGGATCTAATTGAGACTTGAATTGGGATTATGGTGGGTGCTCAAATAAAAAACGATGGAGAACAATTTGGTGTATGGGGGCTCGAAGAAGTGAGGGATCTCGAAATAAGAAAAAGGTGGGGGGTTTCAAGCAGCACCCTTTTTTGTAGTTCTTTTATCTTTTGATGTGAGTACACTAACAATTTATGGTATTTCTTCTAGCCGACCACTAAACCACTTGATTGGGACACAATGCTTAATTTGGTTTGGTTAAATGTCTTTTCTTGTAGAATTTATCTACCCTTGATGTTGCTTTCCAACTTCCCCTACTCATTCTTCTACTCCATTTCTCATAGTTTTGGGTTTGGAAAAGTTATTTATATAATATTTTTCAATGAGAATTGAGCTGGAAAAGATCTATTTTGCTGAATAGTGAATTCTGCACCAGTTTTGCTTGTCACTGTTTTGGCATGTGGACCACAAATTGGCTGTGATGAATCCATTTGGGTAAATTGTACACATGTTGGGTGCAGGTGTATGTTTTGGTGTCAAATTTGTCTAATCTTCCATTTTTAATGCATTTGGTCAAAACTTGAAGTCTTTAATATTTATTTATTTTTTGGTCTCTACCTAATATGAGATTTCTATTTATCTCAGCATGTAAGAGGTATTCTATTAATCTGTTTTGTATTTTAAGAGGTAGAGAAAAGTAATGAGAAGAGGTCCCAAGAAGAGGTTTTGGTTCTTGCCTCTTGGGTAACTTTGTTGGTCGAAGTACGTGTTTTTCTTTTCCTTTCTCTGTCAAGTGTTTGGCATGTCTGATACATATTTGTACCCATACCCACACTTGTTTCCTTTCTTGTCCAACCAATTCCATGTAACATTGTGAAAAATTGATTTCTGAAAATTGTGGTCTTTTGGCTTATATATTGTAGAGTTAAAGAGCGAAAGTGCGTAACTTAATTTCTACTCAATCTAGGCTTGGGTGTGTGTTTTGTGTTAGTATATTAGCAGATGATGTATCAATCTTATGCACTTGAATACAATGTTTAGATGGTAAACTCAGCCAAGGTCTGGAGTTGTGCATTCTACATGACTTTCAATTTTGTATCCTATTGCACACATGATAAACTTACCAGCTATTAGAGCATCTCCATTGCTAATTGTCAAAATAACATTGCCAAAGCTATGGGTCCATTTGGTTTAGTTTTAGAATCATGATTTGAGTGTGGAGTATGGATGGCAATTTGAACCCGGCCTACCGACCCCGATTAGAACGGTTTTTTCCCGAAAAATACCTCCGACGGGCCGGGGGTGGTATTCAAAAATGAGTCCCTGACAATTTTCATGTTGGCGACGGTGATACGTTTTCCAGCTCGGCTCCGGCCCCGGGTCGTCCCCATCCCCGTCCCCATTTCCCCCGAAGTGAAATTACTATTATATCCCTCTCTCTCTCTATATATATATATATAAACCAAACCCTCACACACAAGCCTCTCAGACTGTCTCCTCTCTCTCTCTCTCTCTCTATAAAATCCTCCCATCACCGCCGATCTCTTTCCTTTCTCACCAAAACACTAACTTCTCTGTTTCCTCTTCCAACTCACCTCTTCCTCCATCGTCCCCTCAAAGCCCTAGGGTTAGGATTTTGCACCACTGCAAACGTTCGTCGGCGATGGTGGGTGAACACATCTAACGGATGAGTCGACCGACAAGGGTTCAGAGTTCGACAACATTTGGCCGGAAAAGGTTCCAGTTTTTGATCCGACCTGATGTAATCAAACTCTCTCTCTCTGATTTGATCTGTGAGAACAACTCAGATCTAAATTTTTTTGTTAATTCTTTCTCAGATCTAAATTGTTTTTTGTTAGGGTTTTCTTAGATACATATATATATATATATATATGAGTGTGTGTGTGTGTACATAATGAACAAAAAAAAAAAATGAACAATTTCAGAGCTTGTATATGCCAACAGTTAGGGTTTTCAAGAGTTAGGGTTTTTAGATCTTTAAATTCAAATCGTCAAAAACAAAGAGTGACATAGAGTGAGAGAGAGAGAGCTTTGAGGTGAAGAAAGAGTCCCCTCAGATGCCTGTTGTTAATGAACAATTTTATATATAATTTTTTTTTAAGTTGTTGATGATTGTTTTTGATGATGATTGTTGATAATGATGATGATGAAACATATTGAAAAAAGATTAAATTTTTTTTAAATTTTTTTGTTGTTCTTGTGTTGAACAAAATAAAAAAAAATAAAAAAAAGTTCGGAAATTTTTCGGGGTCGGGGAAACTCGATCCCCGTTAGGGGTCGGGGTCGGGGTCGGGGTCGGGGGTGATGGGTTCTCCGCCAGGGATCGGGGGCGGGGATGATTTTTTTATCTTCGAGGATCGGGGACGGGAAGGGAGAGTGTAATCCCAGGCCCCAGGCCTGTTGCCATTTCTAGTGTAGAGTTGTGATTTATGTGTGGAGTTGTGAGTTGAGTTTTGAAAAGAGAAAATTTGTTTGGTTGTGAGTTTTGAAAAGGGTTTAGACTTTTTGAATTTGAATTTTGAAAAGAGTTTTAAGTTTTGAAAAGAGTTTTGAATTGTATTTTGAGTTTCGAGTTTTTGAATTTTGAGTTGTATTTTGAAATTTTTTGGATTTATTTATTTTTAAATATTTAAAAATGTTTAAGAAAATTTTATTTTTTTATTTTGAGTATATAATTTTTATTTTAAATATTTTATTTTATTTTTTAAATATTTTAAACTCAAAACACAACCACAATGAAATCATAACTAAACACATAATTCAAAATTCAATTTAAAAATTATTTTCAAAACTTATAACCAAACACATAACTCAAAACTTAATTCAAAAACTCTTTTCCAAATTCATAACCAAACTCTTTTCAAAATTGTATTAAAAAAAATTCAAAAAAATATTTTTTATTTTGTTCTTTAAAAATGTTTTTTTATTTTATTTTTGAAGAAAAATATATTTTTTATTTTTTTTATTTTTGAAGAAATATATATATATTTTTTTTAGTATTGGCCAAATAATTTGTTATGATTTAGATATTTATGGGTGATCCAAAAATTTTTAAAATTCAAAAAAATAAAATAAAATAAAATAAAATATTTAAAATAAAATAATATATTTAAAATAAAAATAATAAAATTTTTAAATATTTAAAATACTTAAAAAAATACAGTTCACAAAAATCTTGTATATACAATGCCCTTTAAAAAAATAACAATAAATAAAAAATAAATTTTTAAAATTTTTAAATATTTTAAATATTTTTAAAAAATACAGTGCACATTAAAAAAAATAAATATTTACAATATAAAATATTTATCCTAAAACAAAACCAAACACAACTTATAATTTGGCATGCTATAGTAGCAAAATGTCAAATTATAGCAATAGTGCTCCAATGGTACAATATCATTTTGGCATATTCCCAACCAACTTTTCCTCATATTTTTTAGGTGGTGTTTGGATATATAACTTTTTGAGTAGTTTTTTTTGTTAATTTTTTTTTGTCTTTTATGCCCTTTTTAAAACTTTAAAAAAAATAATTAAATACTTACATTCTATCTGACTAAACAAATATAAAAAATTAAAAAAATCAAAAAAATATATAAATATAATTCACCTCACTATTCACATACCACTACAAAATTATATTTTTTTTTTGAGTGATTTTTTGTTTTTGTTTTTGTTTTTTTGTCTTTTATGACCTTTTTAATTTTTTAAAAAAAAATAAAAAAATATATTTAAATGACTAGACAAATATAAAAAATTTTGATTTTTTTTAAAATGCTAATTCACCCACCATTCACATGCTATAATAAAATTAAAAAAAAATACTACCTGTTTCAATAAAAAATACATTAATGATAATGCAATAATTAAATTACATAACTATTTCATCTAGAACCTTCCTTTTAAATTTCATAACTATTCCGTCCATGACTATTTCAGATTTTTTTTTTCTTTGGATCAAAACTATTTTAGATTGTAACCCCCTCTCTCTCTCTCTTTCTCAGAGCAAATGAAGTGGTTCTGTCTCTCAAGCTCTGGTGTACTCACCTACACCCCCTTTGTCTCTTTCCCAGAACCGCCACTACCACCAGATTTACTCTCACCAGAACCACCCCCCTCTTTCTTTTTCTCTCTCCATCCCTGTCTCTCACAGTTTCACCCGCCTTTCTTTCTCTTTTCCCTTGGACCATCACCACCATCACAAAACCTATATACCATTTGCTTCTCCGACCTCAACCTTCTCTCTAGCCAACCCCTCACCTCCGACATTTGGCGGAGATCAGTTGTAGATCATCTCCTGAACCCTAATTGAACCCCCCCTCTCTCTGTCTCAGTCGCAACAAAGATCAATCGCCTCACCCTCTCTCTCCATCTCGATCCACTCTTTGAAACCCTCCACTTTGCTTCATCAGGTTTTTTTAATTATTATTATTATTATTTTTTTAAACATCTACATTTTTGTTTTTATGGTAATTTTTCTATTTTATGGTAATTTTGGTTGATTATTGTGTTGTTGCTAGTTTGTTCTTGGATTTTTCCCACTGTGTTTGTTTGTTCCATGAAAATTTTGGAGCCGAAATCTGTTTATTTGGATGATATGGCAAGTTTGGCAATTGCTAAATTTGATAGGAGTTATAGCAGTCCACTGGAGCAAGGTTTTTGGAGACTCTTGCCAAGTTTTGGCAATGGCAACTCCAATAGCTAGCCATTGGAGATGCTCTTAGGTAGTTTCAGTGCATGATGATGTACTAAGCCAAACTAAAGTTACTAACCTTCTCCTTTCCTAATATGTTGGGGATAGCAATCAATGTTGATCACTAGAGAGATAAACAAGCTAAACACAATGCTCAAATACATCTTGGACCTTGGTGAATGCTGGACAGTTGATAATTTGACAAAACCAAGCTTACCGTGTCATTGACAATCTCTCTCTATATGTAACGTTTACTTGTGTTGCCTCTGTTATTTGTGGCAGTGTTGCTTGGTGTTCTCAATAATGACCTGGCAATGAAACTAAACAAAATCCAGTAGTGGCCTTTATTCTTGTTCTTAGTGATTATTTTCAAGATTGATTGTTGAACAAAAATAGGGGTGACCATTGTTCCATTGGTAAAATCTTGGCCTAATAACCTTGAGGTTATGGGTTCAACTCTTGGGGCAACCACTTTGTGCACTATGTCAAATATTAGGTGTGTATCCAATCTTTCCCCTCCCAAAAACACATTAATGTGTATTATTTGGGAGTTATTTATTGTTGAACAAAAATGTAATGTAAAGACATAATTGTCCATAGTGCTGAAGTTCAGTGAAAATGTGTCATCATGTCACTTGCATTTTAACTTTACATTTGTTATTCTAGGCTTAGATTTTCTTGCCTTTTTTAGAAGTTAAATCAATTTAGATAAAATTTATCAGTTTGCTCTGTCATTATCGATGTTGTTACTGTGATCGTATAGCTATTAGGTTGCTAAGCTGTTGCTTTTACATATCACTGCTGACATCAGTTTAAATTGTGTTTCCCAATACTTCTTCACTTACTGTGCTTGCCTATCTAACGAGGAAAATAAGGACAATATGTAAAAGTTAATTCACAAAAGGGGCTTCTTTACCAGCGGGAAGGGGATGTGTTCCTTTAGTATCGATAGTATGTAGTGAATGTGTTGTTACTGACCATGTGTCAATTGAAGGTTATGGCATCTCTTATTTTCTGGTTGCTCTATAGTAATGGTTTGACGTGCATGGAGGATGGCCTAAATTGTTTCTCTGCTTTTCGTTACGTAGGATTGTTTTGCTTTCTGTATTTATATCTTAGCAGTCTGGTTTGTCTATGGTTGGAAACTTTAAGCATGTTTAGGGTTTCAAAATTTATGTGCTGGGCTTGATGATGATTATTATTTTTTTCTAATGATTTTTGGTTAATTCCCTAGGCTGTCTTCAAGCAGTTTGCTGGTGGACTTGGAGGTTCAGATAATATCGTACCTGATGAATTTGAACTTCATCAGCATCAAAAACTAGAGAAACTTTACATATCGACCCGTGCTGGCAAGGTTGGCTAACCATTCTCTTGCTTGCATGTAACTCTACCTTTATTCTTTCTTTCTTTTCTTTTTTTTTGGGATTGGCACCTTATTCTTTCTTTCTTGGCCTATTCAGCACTTCCAAAGGGATATTGTTCGTGGTGTGGAAGGTTATATTGTTACTGGATCCAAGCAAGTTGAAATAGGTGATTTTCTGAGACATTATTGTCCTTTTTGCTTTTCATATCATGCCAGTCATTGTCAATACCCAAATATCTTCTATAGGTACCAAGTTGTCAGAGGACAGCAGAAAATATGGTGCTGAAAACGCTTGCACCACTGGTAGTACATTATCCAAAGCTGCCTTAAGCTATAGTAGAGCTTGTGTTCAAATGGAAAAGGAACGTGGAAATCTACTGAAAGCCCTTGGAACACAGGTTTGAGCTAGCATATTCATATGATCATAAAGTGAGATTCTTATGTTATATGTTGTATGAGCATGATCTTTTAACAGTAACATGCACACTTGGGACACATTTTGTTGCAAATAATTTGTCAGAAATTATGTCTTAACACTTGGTTTGTTGCTTTTTGTGTAGTTACAAAACAATCCTTGCTACTTTGTGATAATTCAAAATTTCACAAATCACAGGTTATAAATAAGTCTCTATTTTTATATGCTACTTCTTTTGCTGAAGGACATTCTCTCATTTTGAATCGAATTTTGTGCCAACTTAATGGAATTTATTAGTTATTGTAGTAAGAAGGAAAAATAGGTGAGAAAGAAAGAGACATTATGCTGTTCATTAAAAAAAAAGAAGCAAAAGTGACCGTAGCTGTAGAGAGAGATTTGGGTATGAGATGGAGAAGGTTTGTAGGGAAGTGAATTTGAAGTCAGTATAAATCCAATCAATTTTGGCTGGTATTGAATTGGTTGATTGAAATCCTTTCAGATTCCATTTTCATTGTGTTCCATTAAACAAATGATGTTTCAAACCACATCTGTTCCATTCTTTACCAAAGCAACCAACCTTAAGTCTAGCTTATATTTAAGTTTTACCTTCCATCGTGATTGGATTGGCTTCCATATGCATGTAGCGGCAGGTAAATTTGGATCATACCGATATATCTTGACTCTTCTTGTATTAACAATTACTATTAGCGAGTTTGTTAGATCATGCTATCCATTGTGGCTCCATCAACCTCAGTTGTTAGACTTGCTATTTCTTGTGTTTCCTAGGGCAGTTACACCAATGTTGTGTATTCACAAGTTCTGATGTTTATATTGGCTGACTCTACGCAAGCTGCTTAAATTCTCTGTTGCTTTTTTGATGTTTATATTGATGGTCTTGTTAATATTTGTTGGATTCTTCAACTGTTGGGTGACTCAATTTCCTAGGTTAGGAATCCCTCTGCTTTTGAGTCTTAATTGTTGAACTAGTTGTGACAATATTGGGAAGAATGGAGTAACAATGCAACCTCTCTTCCACAGGGGGTTGTAACAAAAGTAATTCAATATTTGAATTCTCTGATATGCTTTTCTCCAGTGGAAGTTTATTCAATACACCTAACTAATTTTAGTGCATTCCCTCCATTGACCATGAAGTCTGAAATTTGAGTAAATGAGTTTGATGCCTCTTCCTTGACCTTGACTATTTCATAGATTTCACTTTTTCATAATTCAGATGTTTACTTTTCGCTTTTTGTCCTCTTTCTGTCTATCAAATTTTTGTTGGGGTGTCATTCAATTAATTGCACATGATTTTGTTTCTTCATTTAATTTATTTTTAACAGCATTTCAGAGCTCTGCTTTATTTATTTAATGCGGATGCTAACAATAAGGAGAGTCTACAAGTGGAGAGCAAATAATATTGGTCCAAAATTTTAGTCGATACATTTTATGTTGTGAAAGCCATGGATTCTTAGCAAATTGGCTTTGGAATCATGATATTTTAAAAAATTAATCCATGTTACGAACACTTGCATTTATGATTCTAGTTTCTCCTCTTCATTTTAGTTGTCACTTGCAGAGATGTTTAATCACATTACTTTTCTGTTGTGATCAATTTCTTTCTTATCCAGATTGCTGAGCCTTTAAGAGCAATGGTAATGGGAGCTCCATTGGAGGATGCTCGACATCTGGCGCAACGATATGATAGAGTGAGACAAGAAGCTGAAGCTCAGGTAATGTTGGATACGACTCATATATATGCGTGCTTGATTGACTTATTTCCATTTTGCTTGCTGTTTCCCTCATAAGTGATCTACAGTATATTGCATGACCCAATTTTTGGCTGGTATGTAATTCTCCCTCTGTCCATATTGTGTGTCTTGGTTGACCATGCACACAATTCACGGAAAACATTATAAAACAATACATTTACAAAAATGTCCTTTTGACTTATTTGGACATTTATTTTTGGGAATTGGGATGTAAAATAAATTTAGGGACGGAGGGAGTAGAATGTTAAATCTTGCAATGCATGACTAACTAGACCATGACACTCTGTTGTGTGATTTTTATTTACCAGCCTGTTTTTACTTTCTGTTTTGGACCCAGACAGGTTATTGAAGTTTCAAGACGCCAAGCTAGGGTGAGGGAACCTAATAGTAATCCTGATAATGTTCTGAAGTTGGAAGCTGCTGAAGCAAAGCTTGAGGAGCTGAAGTCAAACATGGTTGCATTGGGTAAGGAAGCTGCTGCTGCAATGGCTGCTGTGGAGGCCCAGCAACAGAGGTTGACTCTCCAACGACTTATAACCATGGTAATACATTCTGCCTGATATGGATTTATTTACTTGTTCCAATACCAATGTTCTAGAAAATAGGTTCGGAAGAATTTATCAAATTTTGTTATTTGGTTCATTGAAGGTTGAGGCAGAGCGTAATTATCATCAGAGGGTTCTACAGATACTTGATCAGCTTGAGGGTGAGGTATGAATCAAGTTCAATGAATCTTTCTAGTGGAGTATTGGAGCATTGTGTCTCTTTGATTTAATTTGGATCCTTTTGTAACTGTTCTGCATGTTAGATGGTGGTGATTAACATTATTTGTTGTCTTGTCACCAATAGATGTTGTCAGAGCGTCAACGAACTGAAGCTTCCCCTGGTCCAGCCAGAAATAGTATGCCTCCACCCCCATCTTATGATGAAGTCAGTAGTGTATTTGCTTCTCAGACATATGATGGCTCAACAGATGGCATGGGTTACTTCTTAGGCGAGGTAACTCTTATTTTGGCATCATTCTGCAATTATAGTTAATGAAAGTGTTTCACTCTTTATACTAGTTGACTTTTCATTGTTTCTCTTTGCTGCCAGGTCATACATTCATATCAAGCTGAGTCTGATGTGGAGTTGACTTTATCAGTTGGTGATTATGTTGTTGTCCGAAAGGTTCCATCAATTTTCTTCACTGTATGCTTGCATTTACAATGATTTTCTCTGATTTTCTGTATCTGAAGTTTTTGTGATTTTTTTTGGGTTGGTTTGACTTTTTAATTCTCCATGTTGAGTTCATGTCAGTTTACGAGCATTTACTATAAAATCTAGAAAATAATGCATTATCATATCAATGAATTTATTACCATGGACGCTGTTTCATGCTGATGGACACTGTTTAGTCTAGAAGGTTGGTGTTAGGCTGGTACCCGAACATACACATGTTAGTTAATTGGAGCAGATGCTTGCTGTACAAAAATTAAGGGTAAGTTATGCTGACCTACCTTGAGGTTTGGAGAAAATGTAGTATATTTCACAGTTTTGGCATAATTATACTAACCTCTCCAACAATGACAACAAAGTTACGGACCTGATGACTAATAAAATTACATTTTTACCCTACTGTATCATAATGAATTTACCATTTTAACCTTATACACATAACCAAAGCCTAGCCCACCTTCTTCCCTTTTCTCTTTTCTTATCCCTCAGCGGAGGTGTGACACACACACACAGCCTCCATCATCCACTGGTGCTCGCAGCTATATCTCACACCGTTGCCGCCTTGAACCACCACCACTGTGAACCATGATTGGACTCTAATAGCCACCACGAACAGCCACTATGAACCATGATTGTTCTCCAACGTCGATGATCGACCAGTGCCTTGAACAGCCACCGTGAACCACGATCAGCCATTGCCTTCGAACAACCACTACATCCTGTGGCCTCCAACATCAGAGTTCTCTTCCCCTCATTTTTTTCAAATTTTTTTTTTTTTGGGGTTTCATTTCGTTGTTGATGAGGAGGAGGGGGAAGGCATTGAGAGGATGAAGGATGTGGCGTGGGTGTCGTTGGGGTTTCCTTCAATTTTTTTGGTTGAAGTTTTTTGAAAATTGGGGTGATTTGGAGTAGGGGTGGTGGTTTGAGGTGGAAACAGTAGTGGAGGTAAGAAGAGGGAGAAATAGGGGGGATGGAGGTGGCGATCGGTGAAGTAGAGAGGTGGAGTGGAGGTAATGAACTGTGATAGATTGAGGTGGCGTCTAGTGATGGAGGGAAGTAGAGGGGGCTGGGAAAGGCAGTGGTCCGTAACAAGGGAGGGAGACATGATGGGCATACACATACACACACACACACACATATATATATATATATATATTTATGTATAGATAACAAAACTATGCCCAATTTAGTCTCCATTTCATCGGGGTCTGGGAGGGGAAAACAATTAAATACATTCGATAAATAAAGAAGTAAAATAATAAATTTAGTTTTGTTTTGAATGAGAAGGGTAACATCACAAAATACTTTTAGTTTTAAACCGGTACTTCAGTGTTGTGGGCGAAATTGTTAACAAATTTTATAGTTGAGGGAGGTTTGTCTAATTATGTCAAAACTATGAGTCTTCTTGTAATTTTGCCAAACCTTAGAGGAAGTCATTGTAATTTACCCCAAAATTAATTTCATCTTAAGATAAATTTGTTCTACGTGATTCATCTCAACTTAACAAATGTGTAACTGCAGTTAATATGGCCTTGAGTGACAGTTTCTTAACTTGGTGCTTATTCATTTTGTGGGCACCTATTTTGCCCAACATCTCGACACTCTTGACGGCTGATAATTTTACCAGACTTCTGACATTGGTAGTCCTTTCAAATTCATAGGTCATGTTTAATATTCTTTAAATCACTTAATTTTGGAAGTAACATATGATTCTTTGAAGTTCATGTGAAATAGTCTTTTAGTTCTTCTATATTTGTTGGTTTCATAATCTTGACCATTGAAATTCCGGAGATGCAAGTGATTTGTTTGTGTTTGGGGAACCTGTGAGTACATGGCATCTGCTTGTTTCTAAAGCCAGATTAATTTGAATAAAAACAACTGAATTTTGATATTTTTGCCCCTCTACAGCCCAAAAGTCATGGAATCCCACCGTTGCCACTCTCTATGCTGCATCACCTTGTGTAGCATTGCTGCCATTGGTCCACTAATGAAAAACTAGTGTGTTTTATAGTATTTCTTCAGATAAATTACACTTTACCTCCCATAGTTAGGCTAAAAAACATGGTGCCCCCTTGAATTTTATTTTGTGGCACTAAACCTCCTTGAAGTTAGAATCAAAGTGCCAAAACTGACAACTGTAACAGAAAACGTTAATAGACTAAATTGCCCCTGTTATTTCACTCTTCTCTTCTGCTTGTGTTCCTTTCTTTGTACCACTTCAGTACATAGCATTCTTTGGGTTCATTTCTTTAAATTGGAATCACAAAATTTGAACACAACCATTTCATGAATCGATGTTTTAATTGATGCTTATTTTTATGCCAAAGCTGTGAGTTGCTATGCCTTCATCCAAAATGGTGCATTAAGAAAAAAAGGCATATCGGTCTTGCTTGCTGCAAGAAACTATTGTTATTATTGTTGGTTAATAGCCTATACATTGAGAACAGGAGATGTAACAACAAAGGATATGCCTCGTACATCATTACTTATAACACAACTTATGTTGGAGACATTGAAATGTTGGCAGTATGACCTTGTTGAATGGCTCATTTTCTGCTGTTCCATTTACTGAATCTTATATAACCATTGCCACTGCTTCAAATTCTATGTGCATGTGTGTGGCAAATACCTGTAAATGCGGATTTAGTTTATCCTATTGGATTAGTTGCAACTACATGTAAAAGGTGTACTGCTTTCTTATGCTAATCATTTGTTGAAACCTTTAACATGTACCCTCTCTATAAGCTTAATTGTTTTAAAATTTCCAAATCAAGAAAATAATTTTGAGATGACTGTATTATCTGGTTTGACATGTAATTGCTCTTTCTGTTTCCCCCTCCTTGAGAGAGTAGAGAATGGTTGTGGTGACTGTGGGTGGTTGTGATTGAGAGGGTGATGGGTGTGCTTTGCGTAGTGTCATAAACTTTGAGGGGGACACGCTATCTTTCGGCCTAACCTCAAGGGGGCAGACTGTAATTTACCCTATTTCTTTACCCTTTCTTTTTGTTTGTGCCTTTTTGGTGATGAACAGCAGCAGCATCCTTGCCTCCTTGGTGTTCACTGAGGCTGACAGGCCATTTGTTACAATCTTTGTGGATTAAAAAATGAAAAGAAATCAGTAACTGCATATTGGTAATGTTAGAATCGAAGTACCTCATTTTATAATTATTTTTTTCCTGCTCCTAATTTTGTTATTTATATTTATAAAGCTGTTTTTTGAATTGCCACACTGTTCTGGCTTCTCGCTGGTATTATCACTATTATGATTTGGGTAACAATGCTTTTGCCACATCTAATTCCTTGAAGCAAATATTGAAGTTCTTATTTAAATTGTTATGAACCCTTTTTTCATCGAGTTTTTGCTGTATATCTATTGCTGTGTGTTCCTGTTACCAATTGCAGTTACTTTTATCTGTCATGCCAAAGTCTATTCTTTGTGTTTGTGGCAGGTGTCAAACAACGGTTGGGCTGAAGGTGAATGCAAGGGGAAAGCTGGTTGGTTCCCCTTTGGATATGTAGAAAGACGAGATCGTGTTCTTGCTAGCAAGGTGGCTGAAGTATTTTAACTATTTGTTAGGTTTGCATTTAGCATTCCCACAGGTGGTGCATGCAAAGTTTAAGCTTTTGATCTTTGTTGGCTGATGTTTGTCCTGCTTGATTGCTGCCGTCATGAACACAAACATATTTTCATGTGTTAGGAAGGTACGGGATTCTGTGTCCTAATTCACTTTTAGCCGCACGATCATGCCTCAAGATTTTCACCACATTGTGTTGCTGAACGTGCCTTGGGATAGAAAGACAGAAATTTGCGGGATAGAGAATCCCTGACTGTTAAAGAACAAGGAATGCTTTGTTTTATTTCCTCCTAGTTACAATTTTCTATACAAACTCCATTTTTGCTGTAATTTCAACTTATTGTTGTGGCATATTATTTTCAATTTTCTTTTGGAAATTGCGTCTAGTTTGACCTGTTCTTCCTTTTTGCGGTATTTAATCCTTTGCTTATTATCTTCAAAATTGACCGGACTCCAATTAATTTTATGGGCCTTGTTCGATTAATTGGCCCACTAAATGGGGGAATGGCTCCTCTTTATATCACTATTTTTCATACTCTATGTTGTGTGTTTCACGTTGGGCTCACAATGATAGTCTGAATAGTTCATCCCAAATCTATTGATGAATAAGTGAATAAATTGTATTTTATTTTATAAAATGGATGGTTTAATTTTAAACTAATTGTTGTCACTCATCTTACAAAATAAAATATAATTTATTTATCTTTATTGATATCTAATAAAATTAATATTTTGCCTACCTCAACTTTATTGTTGAGTATACGAGATATTCAAATTATTATTATGGACCTAAAATGAACTCACAAAGAGAAATATGGAGGGAAGAGTGTGATCAACATGTTTTGTGATGGACATTTTGTCATAAATTCAGACTGAAGGTTTTGGGCGATGGACATTTTGTCATAAATTCAGACTGAAGGTTTTGGGACAATTGCGAAGTTAGAGGACTTTAATTTGAGCAGATTTTCAATCTCTGGTACTATGTTTGGTTAGAGAATTTGGTGTGGGATTTGGAAATGGGAAAGGGAAAAGGTGTGTGAAATTAGGTGAAATGTAGGTATATTTTATTTTAATTTCACTTACCTTTTCTTTTTTTCTTTTCAATTTTTTTTTTTAAATCTGTCAACCAAACACAGCGTAAGCGTAAGGGACGATTACACAATTATTTCACTAAAATTGGACCCCCAGTCTTCTCTAGATGTGTCTATGATGACAATAATTTAACGTTGTTGCCGGACTAAAAAGAGTAATGTTAGAGATTATTAAAATATTATAATTTTTTTTTATATAATATTTATGAGTGTGAGATTGGACTTACATTTAAGAATTAGGTAGGTTTTTTCATAATTTGTTTGAAAATTGTATCATTAATGGACCAAAACAAGGGTTGGGAGCCTTATGTGACATGTGCATATAGTGATTTTCGGCAATGAGAAGGTGAACATATTGTGATAAAATTTGGCGAATCGATTATTTTGTGGGTTGAAAATTGTGAATCTATTATGTATGTACATAACATTAACTTGTATCTGTGAGAATATATTCGTCTATATTAGGCATTGTATATATTAGGCATGTTTGTGATGATTGTATTTCCTTTTTTGGTTAGTCGTTAGGGTTATATAAACTAGTCTTGACGTAATTGATGTACAAGTTGAATATACAAATCATTCAGAAATACTTACATGGTATCAGAGCTTGGTTTGAAACCCTAGCTTTCTGATTCGAAACCCTAGTCGTAGTGGGTTTCATCTTTGTATTTGAAACCCTCTGTCTCTCGGTCTCTATTCAATCGCGACCTTATCTGCTGCGTCTCTCTCTCTGGTTTGACTCTAGTCGATCGATTTCTGCCTCTGTACTTCGCGAGCCCTAGCGCTATCGTCATGTGTCTCCCTCGGTATTCGCCGACCACAGTATCTCTCTCTCTCAGTTGCTTCGCGATTGATTCGAATTGATTTACGTTGGAATCTCTAATCACTGGTTGTCTATATTGATAACAAGTGTTCTGCTTATTACTCTTTTACCCCAAGGTTCTTTGGAAATTATAATCTGATGCCAAAGTTTCTTAGTTCTTTAGTTTCATCATGTCGGAGGATAAAATTCAGGCTATCATCTGCAGGCTCATTGGTGCCAACTATGGTTATTGGTCCACCATTATGAAGAATTTTCTTATGGGTTGAAAAAAATAGGGTTGTGTGTCTGGGTCTATATCGCATCCTTTGGATCCAAAACAGGACAATTATCTGGTTGCTTGTGACACATGGGATTGTGACAATGCCCAAATTTTGACTTGGTTTCATAATTCTGTGGAAGATCGCATTGAAATGATGTTTTCCAAATATCCTGCTGCCAAAGAGATGTGGGAGCACTTATTTGGTGTCTATCAGCAGTCCAACTTTGCCAAACGGTATGAGTTGAAGTCCGCTATTCAGAATGCTCGTCAGCGGGATAAATCTATTCGGGATTTTTATGTTGAGATGACGGGTCTTTGGAATCAGCTACCTCTTATGGAATCTCCTCGTCTTACAACCCTCGATGTTTATGTGCAGTTTAGGGAGGAGGGTCGTTTGGTGCAATTCTTAACGGCTCTCTCTCCTCAGTACGAGGCTATTCGTGGTGGCATCCTTCACCGTTCTCCTCTCCCTTCTGTGGATGCTATTGTTCGTGAGCTTCTTTCTGAAGAAACCCGTCTTAAGACGGCTAATCAGACCGTGTCTCCTTCAGTCTTCTTAGCACAACCACCTCTATTGGCGACTTCATCTGTTTCTCAACCTCAGTCTTCTGCCAAGCCCAAAAAGGGGCCCTTAGCATCAGATGAGTGTGCTTTTTGCCATCAAAAGGGTCATTGGAAGTACAATTGTCCCAAGAAGAGCCGTCAGTCTACTCAGCCGTCTCAGCCACAGTTCCGAGGTCCTATTCTGAGTACTTTTCGCCCACCTGCTGCTTATACTGCATCTGCTTCGGCTTCTGATCTTGACTTGGCTTCCTTAAGTGCCCAGATTGCCCAGCTTCAGCATCTCTGGTCCACCTCTTAGTCATCTTCATTTGCCTTTACTCTCACCTCTCTTCATTCAGGTTTACTTGGGTCCTCTTCAGGTATTCCTTCCTCTGTCTGGCTTTTTGATTCTGGTGTCTTTCATCATATGACTTCTTACATTTCTTTACTTCAAAACTGTATCCCCCCTCCCGTTCCTATTACTATTAATACTGCTAATGGGTCTGGTATGTCTGTCTTATCTATTGGGTCTGTTTTACCCTGTGCCTTGTTTGTTGTTACTATTTCCTTTGTTCTTTATGTTCCTCAACTGTGTATTAGCTTGCTTTCTATTAGTCAGCTTGATGCTTCTGATTTTGATGTTATCTTTTCTTCTTCTGTCTGTTGTGTGCAGGATCAGATGTCCAAGAAGCAGATTGAGACCAGCCGTAAAGTTGGAGGTCTCTATGTGGTAGAAAGCCTACATCTTCCTTTATCTACCTCTTCCGTTGCACTTTCATCTTTTCAGTTAGATTTTCAGTTGAGTCAGTTTTATTTATGGTATTCTCGTTTAGGTCATTTGTCTGTTGACCGCTTGCAGTCTTTAACGCAGCCAGGATTGTCAGGATTGTTAGGTAAAGTTTCTCCCAGTCAAATTAATGAGTGTCGAGGATATAAATTTGCTAAAATGACAGGTTTACCTTTGTCACGCCCCAAGCTCCGTGACAACGCCGCACACTCATTTAAGTGAGCATACAAGGCTAAGAATCCAACACATAACCAACAATGTAAAATACTCAAATTAAATCCTTAAATATCATAATGCTAAAAACCATACAAATAGATAATTCTTATCATATGAAATTGTCCACCAAGTCCACTAATAAAAATAATAATAATAATAATGATCCAAATACTTAAATCATAGTCCTACTCTCGGCACTCCCACAAGTAAAAACCCTGCATAGCTCTACTCCTCAGAATCTGAAAAATAAAATAAGGGTAAGCTAGACAGCCTAGTAAATAACCAACCATCACTATTAGCTGGATCAAGTATATAAAAAAAATAGTCGATAACCAATAAATATATTTTTTGCTACCATTCAATAAATGAACAATTATTTTGTAAGATGGTTTCGTAGTTGAAAATAAACAGTGTAGCAATACATTTTAATTGAAAAGACAATGAGGTAATTCGATGAAATTTCGTTGTTCAAAATTGATGGTTTGATATTCAAATGGTTTAATGATGCAATTCACAAAACCCAAGTCTTGGTGACTACGGTCACTTAGCCCGTGACAAGGCCCAGAACCACACATAGGCCGGTGGTAAAGCCCCAAAAGAAACTAGTTTCTGTGCCAATAAATAACTCCCATTGGCTAGGGTCCAAATCAAAGTCAGACTAGAGTGATGTTCAAAATTCAAGCAATACACAACTTTCAAATAAAACATTCGATATTTTCAGAATAAATGTTTAGTACAATTTTCAAAATAGTTTCATCAAATATTCAAATAATTTTCATAATAATATTCGATGTTGTTTTATACTTGACCCATATTTTATTTTAAGAGAACATGAAGGATATAAATAAATATTTATGATTTTAAATGATTCGATAGGAATAAAAATGAACCAACAGTGATAGAGGGTTACTTACCTCAAACGCTTAGAAATAACACTCCAACACCAACTCCAAACACCCAATTTCACCACTTCAATCACACAAACCTAATAAATAAAACCTCAAATAAATTAATATTTTTTACATGTTACAAACACCCACAAAAGCACCACTATATTAGATTAATGTATTACTTTAATATCCAAGAGATCAAACCATTCAACCCAACTTTATAGCCAAACACACCTTTACCCATGATACAAAACTCCATTGTTTCTATTACCCACCCAAAGTTACATTTACACATTGCACCCAATTCTCAAAACCTAAGTAGGCACCTACAGATCTTCCAAATCTCCTTAATGCATTGATTGTTAAATTCCTCAACATAAACTTAATAATTAACAGTAAAGACAGATTTTACCTTAACCAATGGGTGTCCCAAAATCACCAACGTGCTGCCTTCAATCCCTATTGTAGCCTCACTTGAACCTCTCTTCTCTTTTTCTTTTCTTTTTTCTTTTACCTTCTCAAACCCTAGCCGCCTATGGAGCAATTCATAGCCTCTGTTTTGTTTGTTTTCCAAGACTTAAAGCCACAATAGGTGGGCATATTAACCTAATTTCACAAAGTTACAAAATTACCCATCTAAGTAATAGGAAATATAATGCCATCTCATAACTAATTCTTTGATATTAATAAATGACCCATATAAATTAATTTAATTACTAATCTATCCAATAAAATAATCCTACACACAACTTGGGTTTTACAACCTTTTAATAACAGTACTTCTATTTC